CCTTTATTAAAATACCACAGGCAAAGAACCAGTAGGGTATTTTTGCTTTGTCCAGCTGTAGAAAATTCAACATCACTTGGAATTCCCAGTGCATTTTCTAAAACAGTACCAAAGCCTGGTTTTGATTTTGAAATGAGAAATACCCTCATACTCAACATATCTTAGGAAGATTCAAACAAGCTGTATGCTGTACTAGCTATAATATACAACAGTCCAGCTGGAAAACATGCAAAGGGAAATCCTTGCTATTTCTCTTTAATATCGACTCATTCAACTATTAGAAACTATATCTACAGAAGGCAGTAGGATGTTTAGTGTACATTTTGTTTTTTCATTGTCTGCCTAGGAAACTGGAAATAGCACACCTGCTCATAACCTTCAGAGGGGGAAAGACACATTTAGGTTGCTAATATTAGGAACATTATAGAGAAAATTCATGTGTATATAGTCTTTATCGGAAGAACTTCCTTCTTACAGAGAACTAAGAACTTCTTAGTTCTAAGAGGGAACTTAGAACTTCAGGAACTACTTGCTGTTTATTCTTTTTCCCTTTTCCCCTGCATTTCATTCTTTCTTTACATAAACACAATACCAGCTGATTTTAATCAGATTCTCCAAGGCCACAGGAGGACAAGTGGAAAAAAATGGTTTACAAATCTTTTTGCCTTCTTGTGCTTGGTTAACATCTCACTTTCATCTGAAATCCCATACTCATACGTAATAAAACAATCTAAATCTAACTTCAGAGATCAAAAGAGTAAAATTGCAAAAGGATGAAGAAGGCAGTACATACAAATATAAAGTAAGTACTCCTCAGCAGCTGTTTTAGAACGGTACTAAAAGCAATTTTAAAAATGGAGCAGGCTATTAAAAAAAAACCCAACCCATTATTAGTAGCCAAAGTTAATAGAACATAGGCAGTCAGTATCATGTAGTTCATAAATTGTTATATAATAAACAGTTTGCAAAGACTGTAGCACAAGTGCAACAAAAAAGAATCAATGACCCAGTAAAACTAAGTACAGGAAATAGAAATTTTTTTTATCATTAAGTTTTCATTTTCTGAAGGATTCAATGACTTGGTGTTTTCATTCTACCTTGATGCCTCAGTTAAATTCTGAAGTGCCAGTAATCAAGAATACATTTCTTTCTCCCTTCAGAGGCAAAAGTATTAAAGAGGAGTTAACAATGTGCTTTACTCCATGGAATTAACAAAACTTAAGCCAAAATACCATGTACAGTGAAGTATTTTACTGACCAGATGTTTTGTTTTTAATGTGAAAAAAGTGATCCTTCATTTTTTAACCAAAGTAGTTACTGGTAAGCTTTGTATGTTTTGATTAGAACAAATAAATAATGTTTGAAATGTCAACAAATGTAGTAACTTCTGTGTATACAAATATAAAAATTCTCAGATTTGGGTATTGCTTTAAAAATATTTTCAGGAAGGGGTTTTTCCTTCCCCAGAGGTTTCAGATGGCAGACTGAAAGACATTAACTAGCATGAAAATGGAACAAGATGTTTGAATGCGATGGAATCACAGCTTCTTAGATGTCTACAGCTCGTCTCTCAAAGTTGTTTTCCTAAATCGCTCCAGTGGTTACAGCAATCTCAACTGAACACTAAGAGTACATACTTAAGCTTATTCCCACATAATACCTTTTCTTTTACTCCGCTTCATCTAAAATGCCTTTTATTTATTTTTTTATTAGATGTGTATAGATGTATATATTTTAAGTTCTGTCACATTTAGCCTTTATATACCAGTCATCAAAATTAAAGTTTAAGGGTTTTAAATCAAGAGTTGATGCTTAAAGTCTATTATGTTCATAGGCAGGACATGAATTTTGGACAGCACTTAAAATGCAGTTAAATGTGATAATTATTTCAAAAGACGATGAATTTAACACTTCTACTCACCATTCATGGTGAGACATGACACTTTAGGCAAGTTTTCAGTGGGAAAAATAATAAGGATATATTTTTCAGCTCAAATTTTTTCAAAAGACAAACCGAGGTCTATATGTTTTCTTGTATACCTTATTTTTGTCACACGTAGACTAAAAATATAGAAGCACAATTATAAGCAGTGTTTTTGTAAGTGAGAAGTAATTCCTATAAAATACTAGAAAATTTCCACCATTTGAAAATACTAATTTTTTTTCAACTGCATGACCTCCATTAAATCAGGTTGCGTTATACAGATCTTGAGTACAGAATATTAAATGCATAAAAATCTAACTGAAGAAAGGACTAAAATAGCATTTTCTTCCCTAAAAGAAGAGTGATCGTTCTTTACATATTGACTGTAAAATCGTTCTCAGAAACACGTGTGCTGTAAGAAGCATGTGTTTAGTCAGATGCAAACAAAGCAAGTTACAGGCCAGAACTCATGGCTATTTCATCTTCGCAGCCCGTCTGAAGGAACACTAGAATGAGCTTGAGCACCTACCACTGCCAGTTTAGAAAAGAAAAAGGAGTCTTTATTTACTAGCAAGACTGTCATAACACTAAAGGAAACATGACTACTTTGTGGTCAGTGTAGGTTTGCTGACTTACTGACTCTGGCTGCAAGTCGGTTTGTCACAGGAAGACTGCTCACACTCTTCTCAAAGGTGAAGTCTTCATTTCACTGGAAGGCAACAGTTTTGTCACAGGTGTTACTGGGTCAAAACATCATCCTTTATCTTCCTTCTTGTGAAAGCAACAAAACCAAACGCTCTCACATGAAACAACTGATTCTTTGAATACTTTTTATAATAGTGTAGCCTTTATTTATTAGGGCTAACACTAGGTAAGACTAACTAGGTAAGAATTTTTATGTCATAATTCATGTATCTGCTTTTGATTAAGAAATTTCCATATACTTGGACATACTGGTAGGTGACTCAGCAATTCAGCCTTGTAATATTACCATTAATTTGGTAGACTTTCCACACAATGACTCATTTTGCATCTTGCTTGCTGCTCCAGTGCTGAGTGAGCCAAGCAGTATTTTCAAGCCTGTCAGCTGCCAGGTTCTTAAGGCACAGGATGATTGGTTGCTGAAACAAATACTCGCTAATTGCACACTTTTATCTTGCCCCAATTTTAAAATATATTGTTCTAAGCATAACTCACCTTACTTGGCAAGAGCACAAGCACAACTGTCCCGGTAAGAAGGCGGTCAGCTGTTATCTAGATGACTCATTTATCTAGCATGTCTCCTTCCTTAGAAGGCCTTTCGAAAAGACAGAAATTTCAACCTGTCTCAGATCACCACTAGTGTTAAAAATAATAGTTTGTTTTCTAGATGTCTTTAAAAAAATAAAAAAGAAAAAGAAAGGCAGTGCTTCCAACAAGAACCTTCAATGCAGAAAACGTAAATATTCAGATAATTTCTGAACTTAATGCTGCAAGCAACACCAAACCAAGCTCATGAATACACTATTTCATTCACTAAAAAGAAAGCCCATTTGTGCATTTCTAACAATGAGAAAGCTTTCATTTTGTCAATGAAACACGCCTTTGTAGGAAACATCATCCAGGCCACAATGAGTTACCTCCTCTTTGGAGTATAATTCCTTTTCTACAAGAAAAATGTTTTGTTTTTAAATTCAATTGAAAATGAAACAGATGTACAATTAGAATCCTAGGAGGCTAACACATGCCACAAACATTCCATTTAAGTTTCTTTACATGGTTATTCAGCAAAGGCCATTAGAATATAACATAAAAGGTATCACCTCAGTAAATACTGCAAGACATAACTAGACCATTCAACATTTTATGTATGAAAAGCAGGCGTATGTAAAAGAGTTCCAGGAAGTTAGCTGGTAAGTTCATTATTCATCAGGAGTAGTCAGCATGGATTCACCAAGGGGAAGTCGTGCTTGAGCAACTTGATAAACTTCTGTGGTGGAATGACTGGCTGGTAGATGAGGCAAGAGCAGTGGACATTGCCAGCCTAGACTTCAGCAAGGCCTTTGACACTGCCTCCCATAAGATCTTCGTAGACGAGCTGTTGATGTATGGGCCAGATGAGTAGACAGTGAGGTGGACTGAAAACTGGCTGAAAGGGGGTTGCTGATCAGTGGAACAAAGTCTAATTAGAAGTCAGTAACAAGCAGTGTACCCCAGGGATCAATCGTGTTCAACATCTTCATTAATGATCTGGATGATGGGGCAGAACATACCCTCAAGCAAAGCTGCAGATGACACAAAACTGGGAGGAATGGCTGGTAACACCTGAGGGTCATGCTGCTATTCACAGGGACCTCTGCAGGCTGGAGAAATGGGCTGACAGGAACATCATGAAGTTCAACAAGAAGCACAAAGCTCTTCACCTGTGGAGGAACAATACCATACACTGATACATGCTGGGGCCACGCAGCTGGAAAACACCTTTGCAGAAAAGGACCTGGGGTCCTGGTGGACACCAAGTTGAAAATGAGCCAGCAGTGAACATGCCCTTGCCACAAAGAAGGCTAATGGTTATCATGCACTGCATTAGGCAAAGTACCACCAGCAGGTTGATGGAGGTGATCCTTCCCTTCTACTAAGCACAGGAGTGTGTCCAGTTCTGGGCTTCTCAGTATAGAGAATACAGAGATATAGACATACCTGGCGGTCCAACGAAGGGCCAAAAAGATGATTAAAGGACTGAAGAATCACTCCTATGAGGAAAGGCTGAAGTAGCTGGGACTGATTAGAGAAGAAAAGGCCCAGAGGGGACCCATGACAGGGCAAGACGGAATGGGCACAAACTGAAACACAGGAGGTTCTGTCTGAACATAAGGAAATATATTTTTTACTGTGAGGATGACTGAGTGCTGGAACAGGTTGCCCAGAAAGGTGGAGTCTCCTTTCTTGGAGATACTCACAAGTCATCTGGACATGGTCCTGGCCAACCAGGTCTAGGTGGCCCTACTTGAGCAGGGGGGTTAGACAACATGACCTCCAGGGGTCCCTTCCAACCTCAACCATTCTCTGATTCTGTGAAGAAATGAAAACACAGAAGTTTTGAAAAAAGGCAACGTTTATTTATTTATTTTAATATAAAAAGGTCATAAACTGCATAGAAATATGACTTCAGTCACCTTAAAATGTTATTCATCACTCATTTACACTTGGTAATTCCCAGTAATATGGCAAGAAGCAAGATGGGCTAACAATTGTCTACAATGTATGTATTTACATTCAATTGAAGTTATGCATGCACAGTAATATTTTTAAATAAATCAAACTCACTGATCCAAACAAAATCTGATTCAAGGTATATTTTAAGTTTACAAAAAGTACAAATAAAATCTTCAAAACTTAAGTTTCTCGGATAAGACTAATTTTCATTTATTTAAATTTAAAGATAAGTTAGCTCCAAAAGTTGTAAGAAATGTAAACATCAGATACCAGGATAAAAATTTTAAGGAATAACAACTTTGTCATAAAGTGCTGGCATATGCTTTCAGGTTGATTTTCCAGATGTTAAAAATAGAATATTAATGTACAAAGCCTTTCACAAGCTTCCTAGCTGTAATTTCAGTACAGTAATATTTTTGTAGAATTTTAAAATTTAAAAAATTTATAAACATTCTTTTCTACCTTTATCCATTAGAGCTTTTTGATATAACTCTTCTTTATCTTAACTGAACTTTAACTTCCGAGTATGCATAAAATAGTTCATACTTCATATTTTTAATTTATCCAGTTCGAATTAGACTCCATGCTGGTGAAAAAAACCAAAATGTTAGATAAGACTCCAACTGGGAAAAGCCAAGGACTTCGAAAAGTTATGGTATAAGCTACGTGAAAACAATCCAACAACTGCCTCCAGCAAAGTAATTTTATAATTATATGTATTATCAATACCACTGAAAAAAGTTACATGAGAATTAATACATAGAGGAGACTGTGTGGTTCATTTATACCTAGACATCTGACCTTCATCCATGCTGAATAGATCTGTTACTTCACATGATATTAAGTCTTGGAAAACTTTTACTTCTGTTGCCTCTGAACCCTGTACGATGAGATTCCTACTGGCTGTTGGTACTCAGGCTGCCAAGGGGCTGCCAGGATGGAGACTGCACTGGAGCAACCACGAAGCAAAACACTGATTTTGAATCCGCTGACTGGCTGCGCATAGGCAACGCTACCTTTAAAAGGCTGTACCTGGCTGGGGACAGGTGAAGTGATTAATTAGTGCAGTGAATCCTTCCCGGCCAAGGACCCTTGACTGTATTTGCTTCTGTCTCCTTTAATCTCACATTTATTCCATGGGGTCAGGCATACAGCATAATGGGTGCTTGGTCATCATGATATTCTCGTGATACTGTTTGGGTTGTTGTTCTAACCGTGGTTAGTTATATACTGACAGTAACTGTGAGTTGTGCTAATCTAGCTCTTCAATTAAAACTTTTGTTAAAATGGATAACCTCTTGGCCTAACGTTTCTTATTCACAACTCAAAAATCATGACAACTAATCTAAATAAATAAATTGGGTGAAATTAGGTAGGCGAGATGGAGCAATGAATTAGACTTAAATTGTCTATCAGAAATGTCACCTCCCCTTTCTGAAATCTAAGCAACACAATTTCCATTTTTATTGGATCGTGACAACTTCTTCTGACAAACGTAACCTGAAAGAGAGTCTTACATGCCTTACACCTCAGTCAACTTCTCACTTGTCAACAAGAATGTCACCCAAAATAAAGACAACAATCCTGAATTCCCCCATGCATTATGGTGATACCTTACATTGAAATCTAAGTAAAAAAAAACAACACCAAATTGTGCTTTCCCTCTGCAAAGAAAGATAAAAATATGACCTCCTACCACTCATTATGTTCACCTCTCATTAATATATTGTTCCCAAACCTCAATCTGCCTAACTATTGACAAGTCCACAGGCACACCTGAAAAAGATTATCAGATTGTGATATTTTATTATACAAACCAAATCCAAATCAAAGACGATTAAGTCTAAACTCTGAGGAGTGGAAAATCCCAAAAGTATATTAAAGTGCCATTTGCTCTCAAATTATTTATAAGAGTTTTACTGCATTCCTTACACAAAAAGACTTCCAGCCTCAGTGTCATGATTAGGATTTTATCTTGTCAGTATTAGTCTCAGGCTGTTATGGCATGATTGGTATTTGCTCTAAGTCAAAACTTGACACAGGCACTGCTTCCTCAGTGCCTACAAAAGGAAGTGGAAGGGATATAACTTAGGAAAATAAACTCACTAAACAAACCAAGTTTAAGGCTTAAAACAATTATTAGGTAGTTTGTCTTTAAATACTAACACACTGCAGTCCATTTCTCAGAGCGGGCATGAAGCTAAGCTGTTATGGATAACAACAACTGACAGAAATATGCGCTGCATTTCTACATTAGAGGGGCATAATTACAGGCTTTTAATTGCAGCTTCACTGGCAAAAAATGCTTATTTTCAGTTTATTCAGTTATTTTAACTCTAAAGAAGGTTTGTGATTTGGGTTTCTTTGGCGGTTTGGGTTTTTTTTTGTTTTGTTGGTTTTGGTTTTTTTTAAGATGAGGAATAGCTCAATACAGGTAGACAATACTGTTTCAGAGGTTTGATGAAAGCAAACTAATAAGTGTATGATATTTACGTCAGCACGGGACCCTCATCCTCTTCAAATATAACTTACTGATAAGAAGCAAAGGATCACTAATGCAAGGACTGACAGTCTACCCGTCTTCTATTTAAGCATTCCAGAGATCCAGCACAGGAAAAAACACAGAATATGCATTATAATCCCTAAGTGAACCAGATCTATGAGGCAGAAACACTTAACTACTAATGATCCTAGAGAGAAAGCAGTTTTTCAAATGGCCCCAAGAGATGTATCATAGTCCCAAAACATACCAACTTTGGCTTCCATTTAAAGCAATGAGAATGGTCACAAAGAAGCCCAGTAAAACAGCTAGATTCAGTTTCCCTGCTTAGACCAATTTCTTATTAAGGCTAGTCATAAAAACGTGCACATATTCTGTTTGGCAAAGCTTGAGTTTGTTTAAACTCATTTTCAGGTTTTAATTTGTTCATTCTGGCATCATTTTTGGACTAAAACTTGAAAAGTGCAAAAATATTTAATTATATCTTCTTAAAAAAAAATAATTCATTTTATTGGTGCAACAACCCCAGTTTCTCAGGAGTTAAATCCATTGCCAGCAATGGATAGAAAAGGAAGCACCAGCATAAAAGAATCAAAGTGCATTTCCAATATGCCAATGCTGCATAAATTGGCAAGCCATAATCTTATATTCGCCACTGGAATAGATTATGCTAAATTCACTTCATAAAAGTCTATATTACACATTAACATATGAAGTCTGTCATGAAGTCTTGGGGATACTGTAATGAATCATCAAAACGGAAGCGTTTGGAGACTGTACTGCTGTCCTCTGGGATGTTTTCTTTGTCTTCCTTGTTGCTACAGGTACCATTACAACTGGATTTTACGCTCCGCTCTTCTAAACATTTTGTTGTGTGTCCTGTCATCGGAGAAGAGCAACAAGTTTCTTCAGGACTACACAAGAGTATGAACTCCTCTTGCTGCAACCACAAATGAGAAAGACAGGCTTCTGCTGTGGGTCGTTCCCTTTGAAAGAGAAAATGGTAAAGTTACTTAAGTTGATTTCAGAAATACTGCTGAGTGTCAGGTAAGATTTTTATCACAACAAGGAACAGGTATTTCTTAGCTGGTATTCATAGTCCCTCAGAATGTTTTCAACATTATATATATATGTATATATGTGCATGTGCTTATGCTTTTGAAGACCACTGTAAATAGGGAGGCTAATGAATATTCAGTCTTCAGGTTTTCAAGGAGGGCCAAATAACATGATGTCATCAACTCTATGTGACATTTTGCAGTCTTTTACTCTTGCAATTCATCAAAAACTGGTGTAAACCCTTCCAAAATGTTATTACTAAACAAGCCACAAACTTGCAAAACTGTTCATTTGGATAACCTACTGAAGTGCTACCAAAGGTTTCATCATGTTCTGCATTGTTAAGTTCATAGAATGGTTTGGGTTGGAAGGGACCTTAAAGACCATCTAGTTCCAACCCCCCTGCCCTGGGCAGGGACACCTCCTGTTTGATCAGGTTGCTCAAAACCCCATCCAGCCTGGCCTTGAACACTTCCAGGGATGGGGCATCCACAGCTTCTCTGGGCAACCTGTTCCAGTGCCTCACCATTCTCACAGTGAAGTATTTCTTCCTGGTATCTAATCTAAATCTACCCTCTTTCAGTTTAAAACCGTTACCTGTTTTTGGTTGCTTTGTTTTTTGGCTGGTATCTAATCTAAATCTACCCTCTTTCAGTTTAAAACCGTTACCTTTTTTTGGTTGCTTTGTTTTTTGGGGTTTTTTTTAATCTATTTATTTATTTATTTTTACTCCATGTGCTGGTGCAACAGTTAAAAAAAAATAATCCAGATTTAACGCAGGAACCACAGACACAGTTAATGTCTGTAATTCTACCACTCTCAAATACTATCATCTAAAAGTTTAGCTACTTTGAATGGCACTTGATTAAAGTCTAAATTTCAAATGAACACAAAGTTACAGAAATGTGCCTTACAAACAAGAAGTTTGTACTTTTCATCAAGAACATTTTTTTAAAAGACTGAACATGGCAAAACACTATATATTTCTGAAGAATATACATTTAGTCACAAGACTGTCAAGTTTTTATATAAAAAAACACAGAAAACCATATTATAGATAAGTCAGCAAACTGTATCAAAAAGATTGCATTTTTTATCTCCAAATTGTGCAAGAAAATGTTAAATTATAGACAAGAACGTGACCTTTCTAGAATATATTTAATTAGATTTCTTAATAATCTGTCCTCTGAATTCAAATATAAAGAAATTCAAAATACAGAACTCAAAGCACCAGCCTGGCTACACAATAATAGCCAGAAAGTGAAGCAAAGATGCTTTTTATACATTATGGAAAAGCATAAATCTAGACTATTAAATAGCCAGCTACTAATACCAATGCATTGTAAAATGTCTGACTGATCATATCAGTGGTATTAGGCTCCCAAATAAAAAATCACATTTTTTAACGTGTTCCAACAAACATAAAAGATAAGATTCTTGCCTGGAGGAGTTTGTTACTTACTCTGGATTTTTAATGAGAAGTTTTTGAACAAAGTCTTTGGCAGGCTGTGAAATTGATGAAAATGTTTCTTCTGAATAATCCACATTAACTTGAGATATATTCAGGTAAGTTTCTTGATTATCAGCTCCCACAAATGGAGATTCTTGCGTTAGCAGCATGTATGAAATTACACCTATGTTCCTGAGGTAAGAACACAACATATAATTGTACTAGGATACCGAAACAATATACCCTCATATTTATTGTGCTGCAGATCAAAATTCCTGATGTATGCTACACTCCAAGAATTAGAAACATCATGTGGTATCTCACTTTTATGTGTTTCAAGCATGTATGCACATGCACACACAAGGAAAGCTATGTGTATAGCTCAGTGAAGGGATTTTTGAAAATTGCTTACTTTCAATACACCCCCTTTTCTTCCAATTGACATTGTTAGGAAAAAGAAATATATCACTTTTTCATGGCCCATTTTTGGAAACATGGGAATTCTGGATGATAAAACTGCAAAACAACAGACTTGCTAATTTGCATGTAAATAAAGCCACATCTTTCACTGCACTTCTGGATGAAGCATCGAAGACTGTGATTTAGTCAACTTCTTTGTACAATCAACATTTGTGTTACAATATTCTCTTACTGAGACGGTTTTCCTGAAGAATGTGAATACCACACATCACATCACACAGAAGTCATAGGTGGTTTCTTGATGCATAATAAAAATGGTTTTGTGATCTGATAGTTCAGACCTTAGTATGCATTACATTGTGGAAACATGCTGCTGGATTTGTCATTTTGAGTACCAATTGTTTGGTTTTGTATCTTTCCACAAAAGCAGACAAATAATAAGTGGTTAATAAACATTCACTAACAGATTTAATTACTATTACAAGTTGAGAAATTTGAAGGACTTTTAAAACTGAATTTTAATTATTTAGGTGCTTAAGAGCATATGACTATTTTATGTTTTTAAGAAAACATTCTCAAGTCTTCACACTAACATAGCTCATAAAATTAATAAGCTACAAAGGTATACTTAATAAAGTTGTGGATTAGTTTAAGGTACTTGTCTCTTTTTTTGTGACTCATTCTGCAGATACTGCTCTAAAGATAAGTAGAAAAGTTAAAAAACTTCTTATAATTTGTATAATATAATTATTTAATGATACAAAAGTGGGTAAGGAGGAGTGACCAAGAGTAGTTAATACCTGACACATCATCCAAGAGTAACTAATACCTAAAGCATGCTATGCAATCGTTGTTATTGTTCCCTTAGAACAAACACCTATACTCTGCATGCTCAGAAGCTACTTGCATTCCCTACTAGGTGTGCAATAGACTCATATACAGTAATTCCTGTAAGCTCTGACTTATATCCAGAGGGCTCCTTCCCCTCCCAACTCTCCCTCTCTTAGGCAGCCCTCCAACAGAGGGCATTTTTGGAAACAGGATAAAACTACGTCAGAATCTGGATCTGGGCTCTAGATTGTTAAGTGGTCATGTCTACCTCAATAAAATTAATTAATATATACAACCTACCACATATCTGTAGCTGTGGTAATAGGGTCGTAGTTTAAAATTTCTGGAGCTAGAGAAAGAGATAGGGAGAAGAAAAATACTTTAATGGATATATTATTCAAGTGGCCTTGAATCATGCACTACATTTCTAGCATTTTTTTGCCAAGCATTATTATGAGACTAAACATGCAGTTTCAATAATCAAGTTTATTATTTTCAAGCCACAGGGCTTGAAAAAAGTTATTTCCATTTGATTAGACACACTGATGCTTAACTGGTTCGCACTAACATGGCACTATATGGCCTAAAGTCTATTCTGTCCAAGTCCCAAGATATTTTCTAATCAGATGCATGCACATATAAAAGATTATTCTAAGAGGTTTTCAAGTACACAGCTTTTTAAGGGGAATGCATAAAGCCTTCTGCATGTTAACACTGCAAGGCCAGATGACCAAGCCAACAGTGGCTGCTAGCATACGCTAGATAGCAAGTTATTCACTGCAGATTGAAGTGCTCTTAACATTGAGTGTAGGCAGATCACGAAGGAAAGCTTGCCCCTCAGAGAGGACCAAGTGTTAATGGCAATCTTTCCCTTTCCGAGGAATATTTTAATCTCATTAAATGATCATGCATCAGCGTCATTCCTATTTCAATCATCGGCATTCTTTATTCAAAGAACATTTCTTTGTGCATTCTAATGCTGTACTTCAACTGTAATCAAAATAATTTAATAGCCAAAATTTCTTGTTGATTTAACAGTCTGCATCACAGTAAACACCATAGCATGAAATTAGAGGTGCACTTATTGATGTAATTTGGTATTTTTTTGGTGCAAATATCTGACTTAAAAAAAGAAGTGCTTAGAACATGTTGCCTTGTCATGTTGTTCTTTTTCCAGTAACGACCGATAACTTGATAAGCATTTTACATGAACTGCTTCTGTTTTCTCAAAACCACACATCAGAAATTGTGAAGCAATTCTTCCATACCTAGATACTCTGTTGTTCCCATGATCTGCCGCAGTTCGCTAGAATTCTCAAGCTTCCGAGACATACCAAAATCTACAATTTTTACATCACCAAGAGGATTGAGGCTGCTCAGCAAAATATTTTGAGGCTAGAATAGAAAAGATTTAATTTGCAATTAATAAAATATAAGCTGCAAAAGACCCCAATGTACTAAATGACATTTCAGTTTCTATTATGCAATACTTACTGCTAAATCTTATTTAAAAAATATTTAATCTCTGATACATACCTTTTTCACATTTTTGTTACGTATTTAACAAATGACTGATTACCATAACATTAAATTGAAGATAAAGTACTAAAATAAAAAGTCTACTGCACTCTCACCTTTAAATCAAGATGAACAATATTGTTTTCATGCAAGCAGCGAAGTCCTTCAAGTATTTGTCTTATAAGCCTTATAATATCCCTTTCACCAATTCTGTCATCCAGATCTGGGACACACAAATCAAATATTTCTCCTCCAGCAGCACTGAAACACATTCAAGAACACTTATGTTTAAATTTGAATTTTCAAGCTTAAGTGAAGAAAATTTTTATATGTAGCACTTATTTAATATATATTAATTTATCATATTCATATTCTCAGAGAGGCTGGTAATATTGTTATTGCTACTTTTTTTTTTTTTAAACACACACTTATGCCAAGACACATCATATAAGCACTTAGAAAAGGAAAAAAAAAAAAATCTGATGATGCTTTTTCTTTCCTCATAGCTGGCAACAGCAGTTGAGAGTGAAACAAAATTTTGTGGCTGAAAGCCTCCTCATGCTTTGGTACCCTCAAGCATGCTTTCCTGTAAGCAACTGTGAAGATGCCTTCAGGAAGATGAGTTCTGTCATCATTCTATAGCAGAAGAAGCCTTTCTCTTCAAGTCAAATCTAAAATGTCTTCCATTAGACCAGTTCCATAAATAATTCAAAGCAAGAAAGCCCAGCAGTATTCCTATTCTCTGAATTTGGTAGTAAAAATTTTTCATTTTTATTTTTATTTTCACATGAGGTGGCTGTGATGTAAACGTAAGAACTATAACGCAACAAACAGCTAGAGCTGCTGAAGAATATTTCTGGAGCAAGAGGAAACTGCATGCTTGCTATCTAGGTCCTGCCATTCTCATGGAAGACTAAAAATCAGGTATTTCTATCAGAGGGGTACCAGCAAGAAAATGTACCCTGCTGCTACTGATTAGATATACAGTTGCCTCATCAGTAAGTGAGCAGTATCTTCCAGAACTCTAGGAGACACAAAATATTCAGAAATACAAGGTCTCAGCTCTGTCATTTTGGAATTTACCATTTCCACGCTAACAACAAAGGTAAGATTGACAAGCTTGAAGTTTTCTCACAGCATCTCAAATACATCTTCCTGAGAAAAAGCCTGTTTACTTACAGAAAACCCTACATATAACACAGCACAAAGGAAGCATGGAAATAACCACGTTGCGTGTGGTTTATTAGTTACACGTCTACACTTTGCCGCAATGTCAGCTGTTTCCTCTCATGCTGGGTTTGAAACCCTTATTCAGCCTGCTCTAAATGCTTGAAGTTTCCCTCTTAAGGATAAAGAGCTACGTCTCAAAAGTACAGATCAGTAAACTTGAATTTCATCATTAGCAAAATGATAAGTCTCTTAAAAAAATCAGATAATGGACAACATGGAGAAGCACAGCTGGAGCTACGTGAGGTGTCAGTAATGCCTCCCCTAGTTGCCTTGATGGTAAAACGTAGATGAGGGGAAGAGCAGTGGATGTCAGTTACTTCAACCTGAACAAGGTTTTCAGCACTGTCTCCCGTAATATTCTTGTATCCAAGTTACCACGTTACGGTCTGGATGGGTGGGCAAGCAGACAGGTACAGAGCTGAACAGCTCTGCCGAAAAGGATTTCGGGATCCGAATGCAGCAAAGGTGAGCAGCACCATGGGCTGCAATAGCAGAGGCACGGCCAGTCGCCCAAGGCATGTGACTACCCAGCACACCAGAACACAGCTACAAGGCAGCATCCTCGTCTTGCCTCCCCCGTTCATGGAAGACCTTAACAAGCAAGTTCAGCACCAACCGAGAAAGCGAGTGAAAGAGCATCAGATGACCTGTAGTATACATAAATGTAAGATACCATTAGAAAAATAACCTAATAGAATGCTACACAGTGCCAAACTTTGAACCGGTAGATACAGCTCAGGAAATTTTGATTGACAGTTCTTTGAAATAACTGGATCGATGCACAGAGCAGCTAAAAAAGCGCCAACATACATGGTTATCATCAGGAAAGTTACTGAAAGCAACAGTAGCAAACCAACGCTCAATAGAAGATCTTAGCACGTAGTTCTGGCTTCTGTATCTTCAAGAAGCGTGTAAGATTAGTAAAGATACAGAGAAGGGCAAGCAAGAGGAAAGACAGTTGCTTTACAAGAAGAGACCAAAGAGACACCGTCTCTTCAGTTTGGATAGAAGATTGTGGGGGAGTCTATGAATAAGGCTTACAAAAACTAAAGCTGCTTTAGAGATAAAGCTGATTAGTTGAAAACAGATAAAAGAAAGCATTTGTTCACACAGTAGGTAATGAACATCTGGGGTTTATTACCACCGAAGCAGGTTCAAAAAAGAATAAAACAGATTCACAGGCTATAGGTCCCCAAACAGACACTAAAAGGAACAGGCATAGAGGTATCCTGAGTACAATACCTCTGCTTGCTGGGACAGTGCAAAAGAGAACGGACAGCAAAAGGTGGACAGGCTCATATGTTCCTTCGCTCCTCCTAAACAGCATCTCCCTACAGCCACTGCTGGAAATGGCAGCAGATTAGACAGACCATTGATCTGACTCTGAAGTGCCTTCCTTAGTTCTTCAACGAACAAAACTATATAGTTTTGTTCAAAACTAGATTGAAAATTAGTACAGCTGCTTGGCACAGCTGTAAAATGAATTAATACAGCTGCCAGGTTTCTCCCTGAAAAACTGGATTCCTCCAATTACCTTTGACCCTCAGATTAGAAGAGTAACAATATCTTTTGTGAGTCTTTTGAAGAAGTATGCATGTCTTAAGGTTATTTCTGCAGAGGAAATTACTAAAGAACTAGCATCCATTTCCTTTATTTAGAAAATGCGTGCTTACACAAACTGATTCTTACTACTACATCTTCCAAAGAACCCCACCAATACAATCCAACAGCAGCAAGGACCATATATAGGAGGAAAAATACGACCAAACAGTAAATGCTTCTAAAATATTTTATGAGTAAGAAACTAATTTCTTGCAATTCTTTTAAAGTACTGCTTCAGAGTTCTGATGATGAGAAACAAACAAAAAAAATCTGTGTATTCTGCTACAGAAAGACGTAATTTAGAAGCATAATCAGTCCTTTGCTTATACTAATGAACTAGGAACACTTAAATGCAAAATTTCAGAATACTACTACAAAGTAGACCATTAACACTAATGTAGTACAAGGGACTTGTTTCATTACAGAGCTTTAATAAGCAAGACTAAGACAGCTGACCTGAAACAGAAGCAGTAAAATCAGTATGGCTTTTATATGAACTTGCACTTATTCCTGATAAGAAGTTCAAAATTTGTCATCTGGACTTTGTCTTTACTTCTACATTATTTATTATTTTAGCCTTTTCAGAACAAATAACATGTTAGGGATCATCCAGTTCCAGGAAGAAAAGCTTTTTTAAAATTATCTAGCTACATTCTTTGGAAAATTTGAAGGAATTTGCCATCTTGTGTATAGTCCACTATTAACAGCTCTTCAAATACTTTGTACATGAAACTTAAATCTTAGAGAAGGACTTTCTGAACTAATTTCACAAACTGCATTTTTGTTCCTTACATTCCAAACGAATTTATACATACAGCAAATACAATAGATAATTCAAGTTTAATTCCCAAATTAGACTTGTTTTTAAGAAACTACAGGAACATCTAAAAGGAAAAGGAAATTTTGGAGGATATAGCTCCAAAAGCCAAACAGTTTTAAAACAACAAAATCACTAAATTTAGAAGCTCAGAACGCACAAATGAATTGTGAGTTTTCAGTCACCAAAAATCATGAAGTGGTGACTGAAGTTCACAGAACATGGACATGCTCTGCTTCTCTGAAATCTGTGTACTTGGTATCAGGGCCTACTTTTTTGGGATGGTATGATTTAAGATGCATAAAAGCAGTGTGCACTTTCTATGGGATTCAAGAACATTCTCTCTGGGCAGCCTGCATGAAAGATTCTTTAAGGAAAACAAAACAAAAAAAAATTTACACCTTAGAGTTTGTATTCAGGTTTTAGATTAGGTTAGCATGACCCGAAAACTGACCGGAGCTTTTTTTACAAAAATCCAACTAGCAGAATAAACAACCTGCTCTAACTAAACAGGCAAGTTTTAATCGAAATTACCCTCCTGAGATAGTATTTAAAGGGACAAAAAATATTTCAATTTGAGATTGAGTGAAATTGTCTATGAAACTGAATTGTGCAGTGGGAAGAAAGGAGAATCTCTTTATTTTTTGATAACTTTTTGTAAAAAAATAATATTTCTGTCCATTTTTAAACATTATGAGTACCGAACTACTATAGGTTTCGATGTATTTTGTTTCATGCCTTATTCTATATTGTTTGACATAAGTCATTAACCATGGATGTAACAAAAACCATGTACAAATCCAAAGATTCAAATTTACAGCAATTGACTGCATTTACGTGAAAAAAAATCATACCAAAAAAAAGTCCCTAAGAGCTCATAAAGTAGATCATAATGAAATCTTAGCATAATGTATATAGCACCCTCTTGTAATTCTTCTGGGTGTCCAGGCAAGTCATGCAAAAAATTAGTACATTGACAGATTTGTAACTACAAACGTGGAACATCTGATGAAGGCATACTCACTATTCCAACACTAAGATGATTTCATTTGCCGTTTCATAGACTTCATGGAGATTAACTATGCGAGGATTAGATTTCATTAATTCAAGTACAGCAATTTCATGAAGAATCTCTGCTTTGCAGTCTTGACCTCTTCTTCTTTTCTTTAGAAATTTAGCTGCATACTCTTGGCCTGTGGATTTAGCTATACATTTTCTAACCACGGCACATCTTCCTCTAGAAAATAAAAGGGAAAACATTAAGACCTAAGACATAAAAAGTACGTAAATTGCCATTAGAAATAAAAAGGCATGGCAAATAATTGGAAACTTTAAAAAAAAAAATATCAGGGGAATGCTACGTTTGGCCTCTTCTTACACTTTTCCCTGAACATTCAACTTTCAGACAGTGTAGGAGAAATTATACTAAGTTAGATGAAGCTTTGTAGACACCCAGTACATTTCATTTTATAGAGACTAGCTAAGCATTAAATCAGAGTATCATGTTACATGGACATTCTTAGTGTAGGACCATAGAATGACTCAGGTTGGAAAGGACTTCTGGTGGTCTCTAGCAAAATATCCCACTTAAAGCAGGACCAGCTCTGGAGATCCAACCAAGCTGCTCAGGACTTTGTTCAGGTTGGCAATATTATATTAAAAAAACCTCAAGCATATTATAGCACCTGTACGATACAGCAATAAGCAAAGTAAAACCCTGTGAAATGTAGACAACGAACACAGAAAATAAAGCATAGTTGTATGCTGGGGGTGTGAGGGGAGGTCTTCATTGCAGAAAATTTTAGCCATAAAGAGAATTTCCCTCCACAAATCATGTAGTACTGCAAAAGAAACAGGTATCTGCAAAATGTTTAAAAACATTGTAACAGAAAGGAACCCACCACTTAGCCTTCTCTTTCTGAATTGCAGTTAGACAAAGTGTGCTGCTTTATTTCCTAGCCAACTGTTTAGGTATGGAAACAAAAATGTATTTTGGCAAACTAGTGTTTTTCAAAGAAAACCACATACTCTAGTTAAAACATCAAGCTGACCTTTTAAAAAATTAGGGGAAAAAATGCAGTTTTTTAAGCCAAGTTATAAACTCCTGAAAAAACAAAGTTTTATAATCACAAGTTTTGCATTCCCAGAAATGCCTAGTTGCATACTTGCAAAGTGTTTTCAAATGATACAAGAAACATTATTTAAAGAAAAACAACTTGAAGGGCTAAAATAAAATTGTGTAAAGTTCTAAAAACAGTATAAAACTGTGTACAAAGAACAAAACCTACACTTATGTCTTTGAAAACACAATGCCTTTCCACGCATGTTTTTTGTTATCCCAGCATACCAAAAATGAACTTGATGAAGAAGGTCAGTATGAGCTATCTGACCCGTGCTTTTTCAACTAAATTAGCTTCCTTAGTAGAAAAGGCTATATTGCACTGCTTCTGGTGAAAAAACCCAAATCCTAAAAGGAACGTCTCTTAAAAAAAAAAAAAAAAAAAAAAAAAAAAAGGAGTGTCTGAGGCTTTTTTGAAAAAAATCTATACTTCAGTATTTAATCAAGAAAGGTATAAGCACCTCATGAAAAATAAGATTTCCATTTGCAAATAATATGTTAAATACAGTGTGTAGAAATATGACTAAATTAAGCATGTAAAGTTGACATTATTAAATGCTATCAGTTACAAATAAATTCAACAAAACAGCTTCTCTGTCACAATTTCTTTCAAAATCTATTAGATTAGTTTCTAATCTATTAGAAATCTATTAGATCACAGAATCTTCTAGGTTGGAAGGGACCTTAAAGATCATCTTGTCCAACCATCAACCTAACTTTGACAAAAACAGACACCCGCACAACAAACAAAAAGCAACACCATCACTAAACCATACCTCTCAGCAAAGATTTCTTTGTCCTTTTTTTTAAAGCACTAAATTTAAAAGTGTAAGAGTACAAAACTCAAACGAAAAGTTAATTTAAGAGGTGAAAGTTATTTACAGTCTGATACATGCGCACTCTTCATTTCAGCAACTATTTGTAAGCCTGAAGTCCTTTCCCAACTGTTAAACCAGCTTATTACTGCAGAGCATTTGATGTTATTGAGCTGAATTTTGTAATACACCAAACTTTAAGATACTCCCTGCAGCTTACATTCTCATTTTGACATCACATCAGTTTGTGAACCACAAAAGTTTCTCTAAAATTAAAAAAGGAGAACTGGTTGAGTTTCATGGGAACAGCAAGATCTTCCCTGAGAATTTTTGCACATCTTCCTTCTAGTCGCTGTGGGTATAACAGCTTTGAGAGTCAGCAGTATCTCCAGATAGATGATGTAAGAATTTCTACTTGTTTATACTGTATTTGTAGTGTGCCAATTACCAAAACAAAATTATTAAGACAAAAAAATTGTTTTAGAGCTGTGGAATTTCCCCAGAAATACAAGCAAGTAAAATGGTTCCCATTCCTCGTTGTCTGCAAAGCAACTATTTAACCATCACTTTACAGCCCAGTTTTACGAGATAAAAACTGATTTCAAGTTGCTTTCATATCCCAAATTATAAACCACAGAAATGTAACTACTTCAAAAGAAGCCAAGCCTTCCACACACGGGGGACAAAACTACCTAACCCACTTAGCAGAACCTGCCTGCTTCGTGAGTCAGTGTCTCAAATACCAAAGGACCTAAAAGATAAGGGTGTGGGAGGAAAAAATTGGACTTGGGAAGCTTAAGTGGAGAAGAACAAAAGAACCATTTAAGCAGTAACCTGAAGAGGAAGAAGAAAATTGCAAGTGAAAAGAAAAGCATCTTAAATCTTTTAGAGAAGCTACAAAGAAAGGTGAATTTTACATAACTTATCAACATTATAACATTAAAAAAATAGATATACACACTATTAGGCCAGGAAAAGTAAAAAATATGTTTAGAAAACCTACTACTCTGCTTCTGCCTCTTGGGTTTTTGGCATTTATTTCGTTATGCCTGGTTTCGCACGTACAGAAAGTATTAAAGCCTGGTTTTTGGAATCCACGCAAAATCTACACTTTTGTTTACTTAAGACATCATCTCACAGATATATATAATCCAAAAATCCAGTATCTTAAGAATACTGGAGTTCTAGAGGATAGTGCATATAAACTGCTTCTGTAGAGCCTAGAATTCAAAACTAGAGCTGACAAAGGGGTAAGAAAACAGGAAAGTTATGGGCCGCAAGGTGCATTTTTATAAAAAGCCTACCAGATAATACACATGCTAGGGAAAAAAAAACCCAAACCACAAGCAGGAGAACAGTGAAGGCTAAAGAGCTTACAATATCACATGTAGAAGAGCATCTTTGCTGACAAAACATGTTGCAGGTGCAAAGGATCGCTATGTGGCACAGCGAGGCACAACTATGAGACTGACCCATGCCAATTCTGTTAAAGGAGCTTGGAAAGATGACCATGGTGTTATGTTTGCATGGCTTCACACCCAATTCCCTGAATATTTTCAAGGTATAAATTAACCCAATGATTTCAAAAAAGCATTAGCTCAGATTTCTGAAACAGTACCATAAATGCCAAGGTTTTCTTTTGTTTTATTTCCTATTTTACTGTTGCAAACATGAGCAAGGGAAGCAGCCTGCAAAACTATTCTAAAACAGCAGGTTGTTAGAAACGTAGACTAACTGCTTGAGGGGGAGAGAAAAAGGTCTTTGTTTTCTGGACTTCAAAAAACTCAAAAAATCAACCAAAACAACCAACTCAAAATCCCCTCTTCTTTATTTTACGTACCTGGAAAGTGATGTGTGACTAGACAGGGGAAATAGCAAAAAAGGAATGTAATCCTAGATTTACATGCCTGTGATAACAAGCTAAATCTCTCTGAGGTGGAAAAGGCTGGCAACTAATGTTTCAGTCTACCTTTTCCTGGTCCCTAGAGAATCCGTTGGATACTGCAAAGAAGGGAGCAGGGAAGGGGAGAGGCATACTTCATTCCCCACCTATTACCATAAAAGTTTGCCAGAAAAGGTCTATCATAGCACAAAGAATTCTCTTGCAGCAGAAATCCCTCTTACTAAAATAAAATAAATAGGAATAATCTTACCTTCCTAGCTCTTTCGATTCAAGAATATAAAAATTGTGGAAATTGTCTGTCTTGATTTGTGTCTGCAGAGATGTGGCTAACAAGCCAGAAAGGCTTTTATTCTCCAACTTTCTCCTCGACATAGTCAGGAATGGGTCTCTCTCTTCTACCAGTCACCTGTTAAAGCAAAATAATTAAGAGTTTTGGAAATCCCGTAATTACAGTGCAGGAAAGTATACAAATATTAGAGTTTATGTCTATCAGACTAGAATAGCCTTATGTTTGTTTAATAGTGACATGAAAACAACACATTTGATCGCTGCAAAAATAAAACCTGAAAGGAAGACTAATCAAGACATGCTAAAAAAAATTAATAGAAAACTTTTGTTTTAACATTTGAGATAAAGGTTTTCCCTAGAGCATGTTCATAGAATACTAGGGATAAGCTTCAGTTCTAGTAAAAATGCTAATAACTACTTAACTATCAATGATATCTGTTTGTTTGTTTGTTTCTCTTTCTTAAGCTTTCTGCAAATAAGCTTTAACTTTCCTTTGGATTCTGGGTAAGTTCCAGCAACTCTCTTAAATTTACACTTTTAACTTGTATCTCTGGGGAACTTAACCAAAACTCCTTCCTGTCTGCAACACAGCAGGAATAGCTAACCACAGGGGAAGAGAAAAAAAAAAGCTACTGTTTTCCCAGTAGGAAGAATCACATTTCCTATTAAAGTCACACATAGCTCATCTAAGTTTCATTTTAACACTAGATTAATTGCCAGAGAGCAACATGAATGGACAACATCCTCTTTGCAAGTTCAGATCATTTAGAACCAAATGATGTAGTAATCCTGATTAAATTACCTTAATAAACCAGTAGAACAGCACACTAGGAAGATACACCCACCTACATTATTTCTACTACTATATATTAAAAAAGAGAAAAATCCACTGTAAAAATCCTGGGCTTTTACATTCACATTTATGGGCCTGAAGCATCTCTTCAGGTGAAATGCAAAAGCAAAGCAGAAAAAGGTTACTGAGGGATAACAGAAGTCTTAACTGATGGCTTATTTTATGTTAAAGAGTAGGTTTACCTTTATTAATGAAGGAAAAAAACCCACAAGGCAAATTACAGATCAGATACAGTTAACAAACTTAAAAAAATACACTTCCAGTTTTCAAATGACAGATATGTACTACCAGAAACTTCTGGGGGAGTACTTGAATTAATTATGATTCAGATATAATCCAGTACCCATCAAACATTGTTCCAGTTACTAGTTCTTCAAACATGGTTATTCATATTGGAACTATTTCAGATTTAAATCACGACTCAGGAAAAAAACCAAAAATAAACTACACAGTTTAGGAATATCTACAAAGTAGCATTTGATGAGCATGAAATAACTTCCTAAAACATTTCAAGGGGTAACAATACAATCTAACACATAAGCCTTTGAATCACCTTGTTTGTAACAAACATGCATTCCTTTCACCCCAATTATGACACGTTATCATTTAAGAGACTGATTCAGATGTTGGAAATTTTATTACTCTTTTTTAGAGCTGTACTCAATACAGTTTAACAGTTAAAGTTATCTTGTTACTTCAGCACAAAAAGATGTATTTATACTAGACAGTTGACTAATTAATTAAAAGCTTTCTATTATCAATTTGATTCTGAAAGTTTTCATTTAACATCACTGTTCTCAAAGAGTTATTATTAAGGAGAGCTTCTGTCGTGTTGAATTAACTTTGTTTCTCGGGTAAGATACCACATCTTCTCTTTTTAGCTTGGTATCATCAGAAATAGAGAAAACCATATATTCATAGCAGACAGAAACACACGAACAGGAAAACAATTGATCCAGGAGAAAAAAATCTAATTTCAAATGCAGTTAGCTGTGAAAAAGGCACAAGTACTAACACATCAACTACTTCTAAAATTACAAGTGATACCTGTGCTGCTTCACATGGGACCAAAAGCCCCGAGGAACAGACATCAGAAGAACGGATCTCCCAGAAGTTTGCAAGCTTCCCACTAAAGAGACAACCTCCTACTAAACTATCTTGAACTGGGCAAAAAGTCCCTTGATGTAACCGTTTGCCAAGAAAAATGAAGTCCCTGCTCCGGGGCTAGGGAAGACGTTCAAGCTGCAGCGGAGAAGGACCCGGGAGGAGCAGCACCGGGTCCCCAGCCCTGGCGGCGGGGCGGGGAGGGGTTGGGTGGCCGGAGGCGCCCCCCGCCAGCCCGGGGGAGGCGGCCGGCACCGCACACCTCCTCGCCTCAGCCGCGCTTTCAGCCTTTCGGCGCTGACCCGTCCCGCTCCGCAACCAACGTTAGACGGCTCAGGAGCGGCTGCTGGGCGGAGATAAGCACCCGCGGTCAGCCCCGGCACCCTTTCCCGAGCCAACGAGGAGGGGCAGCGGCGGTCCCACATCCCGCACGCTCGTCCACCCCCTCCGGAGAAGACTGAAGGACACGACGCGCTCCCTTCGCCTCCGCCCGCCCTCCCCGCGCTACCGCAAAGAGCCCCGGCGGGGGCTGCCCGCTCCCGAGTGCGCTCACAGCCGGTCGGGACGGGCCGCCAGCATCAGGGCGGGACGCGGCCCGGGACCTCCGCGGCACCCCCGCGCCTCAGGGTGCTGCCGCCAGCGCTCCCCGGGGCGGGGAGACACACCGGCGAGCTCCGACAGCCGGCCGGGGGAGGCAGTAGGACAGGGGAGGCAGTAGGACGCTCTCCACCTACAGCCTCACCAGCCCTCACCCGCGGCAGCCGAGACCGCGAGGCGCAGCCCCAGGCTGAGGCAGGCTCACCTCTCGCCGCCGGACTCCCGGGAAGCCCCTCACGGGCCAACGGTCGCCGCAACAGGCCGCACGCGCGCAGGCCGGGCCCGCGCACCCGCCAACCGCCGCGCCCGCACAGCCGGGGTTTGAAAAGTGCAGCCCGGTAGATGTGGCCGCCCCGGCGGCGCCCGCCCGGCCCGCCCACTTCGGCAGCAAAGAGCCAATCCGTGCCCAGAAGGGCGAGCCCTCTGCCCGGCGATTGGTGGAGGCGCCATCCGACCGGGCAGCGCCCCCGCCCGGCTGCCCTCGCCCCTCAAAGGCTGCGGGGGCGGCTGAGGGGGCCGGGGGCGGCAGGTGCCGTCTGCCCGAGCCGCTGCCGGGCCCCGCTCCTTCGGGGGAGCCGCCGACGCGCTCCTGCTCTTCCTCCTCCCGCTGTGCAGGGAACCGCGGCCTTACCTGGCCTGGCTGAGGCAGACCGGCCGCTTCTCCCCCCCTGCCCGGTTGTTTGGGAGCCCGGTGGAGGGAAACGGGAGCCGGGGCAGCCGCAGAAGAGCCATTTTGTTTCTCCGCCTCAGGGAGCGCAAGGGCGAGGGGAGCCGCCGGTTGGGGCGAGGTGCACCGACGGCATCTCCCAGTCAAAGGGCAGAATTTAATCTAGGCACCAGTAAGGAGGCCTCCAGGAGTGCCCGCACAAGGGGGAAAGGCCGAGGCCGTGGGGCAGTGGCAGGTCGGCAGGGCGAAGCCACCCTTGCACCGCTGCCCGGCGGGCCGCGGGGGCACTCGCAAGGCCTGCAGCCTTTTAATTCTCTTTTTCTTTTTTTTTTTTCTGGTCCAGCATAGCTGGGGATCCGAGAAAGAAACCCACAAGCACAAGACTTGCCTGTGTTCAGCAGCAGCGCCTGCGCAGGGCCACGCTTTCTGTCTGTTACGTATGATGCAGCTTGCGGAGTCTGGGGCAACCACGTTACGGGCTGGATCCTGTTAAAAATAGAGATTAGTACACCAGTTCCCACTGACATACACACATGTATGTTAAAACGGGACCAGAACCTCATTTTTAGTACTTTTATACAAGCACACTGCTCACACAGGGGCTGCTGGATGATCTTTATGCACATAAATGGCAACTGAGTTGCCATTCAGAGCCTCTTGCTTTAAGGACCCTAAGGGAAAAAAAAAAGAAAGTTAAAAGACTTTGACTTGTGGTTTCAAAGACCCTTTTTGAGGATACAAAATAGCCGAAAGCATGATTTAGAAATAAGTTGAAATTAGACAGAGTTCTAAAATAGCTGCAATTTGTTTGCCAAATTGATTTCCTCTGTGAGGCAATCCAACCAGCTGCCCCAGAAATTTGCAAACATCCGTTTTATAATAGATTTGCCATAAAGGCAGTAACGTCGCGTAAGAGTTTAAGAGTTATAAATTTAAATTTCAGCAGTGTACCATTAGTTACTGGGTTAATTTTGTTTATGCCGTGGCACTGCCAGTGAAATGGGTAATTGCTGTATGCGTGGCAAGTACAGTACCTAAGTCATGCTGTCACAGCAATGCTTACGTTAAGATTAGTTAAAGCAATTAGTAAATACTAATAAAGTAGATAGTAAAGTAAAAAATGAAGATGAGATACACAGTTTGAGAATACTGAAAGTATTCTTGAAGACCCTGTTCTGCCGTGCAGCTGGCACAGTAAGATATATCTACTAAGAACAAGAGCTGCCTTTCAAGCATTAACTCCTGCTCACTTGACCTTCTCTCTAGATTTTTAGCATTTTGAGCTATGGATATTTTTGACAAAAAAAGTCCAAAATCTTTAACTCTCTCCCACAGAGTTCCACCATCTCTGCAGACTTCCAGACCATACCCCCTTTTCATTACAACATGATTTCAAATACATCTGCCAAAAAAAAAATAAAAATACAACATGCAGAAAAGATTGGTTTTGCTGAGAAGCGTTCTTTGTGCAGTATGAAAAGCAAGCAACATTCCAAACATACCAAATGATCCACAGGAATAAAATTAAATGATGGCTACAATTAAGATGTTTTAGGTTATTATAGCACATGGTGCCAAAAAGTAAATGACAGTGCTTATGTTTGTCTCCTTAGCTGCTTGTGTGTTTTTACCCTTGCTTTTCAAGGCCAGGATTTGCTCTATTCTCCCTTTAAGTTCTGAAAACCAAATACATACTAAAAATGCTTCGTGACACGCGTGCTATTGTAGTCTTGGTTATCTGTTTATATAATGCCATAGAAACACGTATGGCACTTGGAGAAGGGTATAATTGGCAGGACTCCACCCTGAGGACTTTGGAATTTACTTAGATACACCACCACACAGAATAACAAACTGGGTGGAGAAGGGGGAACGGTAGGCTGAAGGTCACAACAGCACAGGATCATGAACTATGCTTATAACTAATGCATGCACCTGGTCATCAATTGCTATTTTTTAATTGTCTCAAAGGTGTTAGCTTCATAATTCCCATTCTTAACAATGATTGCTTCTCTTGCTTTTCTTAATTATCTACCCATTACAAAGCTGGCTTTTTGCAGTCTTCACAGACTTTAATGAAATGAACTATTTCTTCTTGATCAGTTGCCCACCTAGCAAAGATCAGAGCCATAGGCGTTTTATGAAGCTAACCTCGTGGAAAAAGCTCAGTTCCCTCAAGAAGTGCTGATTTCAACTCAAACCTCTCACAGGGTTGGTGTAGTTTGGACTGAATAGACAGCAACCTACCCTTCTCAGCAGATCACTGTGTCACTAGGGTGGGGGTTAAGTGGACAACATTAAGAGCCCATAGATGGAAGCTGAGAACGTTGGAGTCACCTTCTCCAACTTGTTTGTGGTCACTTCTTTGACAAGACACTGACAAAGCAAGACCCTGATCTGTAGCACCAAAAAGAAGCCTCAAAAAACATAAGACAAATGAGTACCAAGAGGAGCCAAGCTGTTAAGCCTCTGTGTGGCACCACCATTCCACAGGGCAGTGCGTACGTACGTAACATGAAAACATGCAAAAGGAAGCCTTACCTGAGCATCTGCAGTATCCTTCAGTTCAGAGTTACGGGGAGAAGATCCACATCTTCTGCATCATGCCTCTACTGCTGCAGCCTTCAAGAAGCAAGAGCAAATCTGCCTGCAAAGTGGATGATCGTTGTTGTGCGAAGTACCCACAGGTGTTTGCTTGGCAGAAGAGCATGGGGCTGGCGTGCCAGACCACCGCACGGAGCAGGCTAGCCCAAAAATGTGCTGGTTCAGTGCATCTCAGGTTATAGCCTCAAGCTGCCTGTCTTAGGGGTGATGCTCCCGTACTTATTGACACCAATTGTTGATTCCTTCACTCTGCAGGGATAAAATAAGCAAAAAGACCTCAACACCCCACGGCCCTGTATGGATTACCTGTGTCCCAAACATCTACAAGGGCTCTGTTAGCTGAAGCAGCCTCCCTGGTACCAAATGCCAACCTGAAACAAAACACAGAATGACACTTTGCCATAGGTCGCTCAGAATCAGGCTGCCATCTCCCCCCATACCTGCAACAGTCAGTTCTGTAAATACCCAAATATTGAATATAGATACTCACCTCATCCATAAAGAATTATCAGGTTTTTATGTAATATGGGTTGTTTTACAAGATGTGACTTTTTTTGCCCATCCTAAAATCTCTGCAAGAATCCCACCACGTTTGCGCACAGGAAATAAGTAACGAAAGGCAATTCTCAATGCAATGGACAAACAGTCTCCCTGTTTCACCCAGTCACTGCCTACCAGGATTGCTCAGCATCACCCGGCACGAGCTTTCTACAAACTCCAATCCTTCTACTGAGGAAAAAATGAGCAATTGCTCAACTCGTGGCATCAGTTGTCAGTGATTTGGATGAAACTGTCTCATGAGCCTGCCATCAAGAACTACGACAGAGAACCAAGTCTGAAAGGGCTCAAGTCTCAAGAGCCTCTTCTCTTCCCACAGCAGCTCCCCACCAGTGATTTAGGTTAGCTTGCACTGCATTTGTGGTAGCAGCAAGATACCACAAAATTACTTTCTAGAAAAAGTTAAAATAATTGCAAAATCACTTCAATATTACATTCTACCAAGAGTTTTATATAAAACACAGGAGAAGTGGCAACTTGCCATTTCACCATTCTGGAGCAAAGGTCTCCTTTGACTGATATGGTGGGGAGAACACTTGCCTAAGTGCTTCATAAAGACCAGTATCTCTAACTGGAACTAGTATGATCTGTTACAAAAGCAGGAGGGAACCTTTGGTGGGGGCCACTGACTTTTATTAAAGAGAGAAAAATATATTTTTCCCTGATGGCATTTCCCTGTGAAAATACAGTGGTTTTTTTGTGTTACAGCCACTGTTGCAAAGTATGTCGCTGTCACTTCTGATGCTCCGTTCAAAATCAGCGACTCTTTCGTGAAGCCTGGGCCTCTCCAACGTGTTGACTTCAGTATCTGGTGCTTTGTTCGCTTAATTTGTCCTAGGTCTTTGTTTCATCCGTAGTTCTCATTCAAATTATGTTGCATATGGTGCAGAAGCCTTACTTTCTCTGCCTCCAAAATTACAATGTGTAGCATGCCAGGCTCCATAAGCCACCAGACGTCCCTTAGAAAAGGTGATACAACGAAGAGCATCTTGTGGTTTCTCTAAAGGTTTTAAAATGCTGCAAAAGACATAGAATGATCTGGAGAGAAGAGGTACTTGCTTAAAAAACATTGCTATGATATATTCAGAGGCACGATAAAAGAGTTGATTTCCAAAGTGGATTTTGTAAGAAGATTTATTTTAATTAAGTGATTTCATGATGAAACATGGTCTTAAACAAAATAGAGATCAGTATGAAAATAAAATTATACACAGAAAAATCTTTTCCCCAAATGTTTTTGAATAACAGGAAATACAACACAACAGTCCTGTATTCAACTGAGTAGATAATTATGCAAATCTGCGAGCAGTCAAACATTATAGTACATTCCTAGAAGCCAGGCACAACGAAACCCATTGTGTGCCCCTGTAACACACTCCAACACATTTCGTATCTGCTCTCTCTGCCTCAAAAAAAAAAAAGTGGAATGTAATGCAATGTAAATGGATAAAAAGGACATACACCATCTTAATGCTTGAAGCACATA